TATGCAACAGGCTCAAATGTGTCTGACTTTCTCAGAATTTGCCTCATGGATTCCGTAATGAATTGGCTTTTCCAGTGTGAAGCCTGTGGGCTTGTGACCAGTTATTCAAAATTTGCATGTTTTCATACAAATTCAGCTGCAAAAACAAACAAAACTAGTTAAAAACGTACTAATCCCTTTGTAGACTAAAGTATGATAGTATGCATTACTGGGATATTTGCCCTTTGTGGGGGGAGTGCAAATCTGAGCAAATCTGAGTCTGCAGATTGGCTAATGGTAGAACAAAAGTTGTCCCTGAATCACCAGAGTGGGTTTCTCTTTATTCACATATCCATGAAGTAGGGCCTAGTTTCCCTCACAGAACACTCCTTCCTCTATTGGACTAGTCTTTTCACTTTTACATCTCTCACTTTTCTATTCTGTGTGTTAAAATTAGATATGCCCCACCCAATTTATATGTGAATGGGGCAAACACATGAGCAAATGTGGCTACCATGTGCTGTTCCCATGTGCTGACAGCTGGGCATTGGAAAAGAGGAAACTCTCCCTGGCATCCTTCTGTGCTTCTGCTGCAAGTGGGGCTCACTGCTCTCCGGCTGCTGGTGTGAAGGAGATTTCGTATAGTACATTTCAACCATTAAGTAGCCCTGTCTACTATTACTTTTCCAAAGGGAATGAAGAAGGATAAGGAAGGGCAAATGGGACTGGGGTTGCAGAATTTTGTGTTGCCTTGAGCATAAAGCTGCAGGAGCAGTCTCTAAGTAAGGAAGATCTGGCAACCGCAGAGCTGACAGCGATATTGTAGCCTGTCTTGGAACATGCTCTAAGTTTTCTGTGTTCTCCAGCAGCCAAGGACAGATTTTTTCCTGTCTATTTCCTTATCTTTCATCAGAGTTCCAATGGTTTGGCATTTGCTAGCCCATCCTTGGTGTCTAATCAAAGCTGCATCCTGAATAGCTGTGTTTCCTTCTTTCCTCTGATCACAGACAGAACAGTAAATTCATGAGGTGACTGTATATGGCAGCTTTTCTAAAAATGATGGAGTTAGAATCGGAAAGTTACCTTTCCTGTAGATGGGTTTGTGCTGGTATTTTAATGAGATATGTTGCAAAAATATGCAAGTTTGAAAAATTGAGGCATAATGGATCCTAGCTGACTGAGTTTGTTTGCCTTTTTTAGAGGGTTAAAAGAGGTAAAGAGTAATAAGGTGATGCAGTTTTAAAAAATCACTTTAGTCAGCAGCTGTTGCCTGTATTCAGACTTCCATTTTAGTCTGGCCACAAAATTGAAGTAAGATGTCATTTATGGTCAGTTGAGTTTCAGCGGGGAAGAGTTCTCTGGCCACAAAACCACTTTTCTTCTGCTCCATTCTTAACAAGCAGGCTGAGGGTTAGGGAACAGCAGGAACACTAGATGCAAAGTTATCACCGGTGGTTCATTTTACATGCTAACCAGCCCAAGGCTTATATGCACAATATTCTGTAGGAAAAAGTACACACTTTCACAAATGGTGTCTAGTCTAAAATGGAAACATACACATAGGAAATAAATGGATTAGAAACAGCTGGATATTTACATGGAAACAGTGTAATGTAAAATGGGTTTGTGCATGCATATTTGCAAATTACAAATCTGAGAAAAGCATCTTTTCCTAATTATTCCCTTCTTGTGACCTCAGTGCTAACATTTTGCACTGCTTTTTACCACTGCCTTTTAAACCTTTGTTGACTTACTAGGAATAGCAGAATGGATTCTGAAAGGATAGAATACTTCTTTTCTGGCTGCTGTGGAAATCTTTTTTTCCCATGTGCTGACAGCTGGGCATTGTAAAAGAGGAAACTCTCCCTGGCATCCTTCTGTGCTTCTGCCACAAGTGTGGCTCACTGCTCTCTGGCTGCTGGTGTGAGGGAGATTTCATATGGTACATTTCAACCATTAATCTCTATATGGAGTATCTTAGCCTATATAAAGTTGCTTCTGGTACTACTGGTTGCTCCTCTGCTCCCAGCATCCAAGCCAGTGGGACCAGCAGCAGCCCTATTTTCTCCACCCAAAAGTAAGCAAACACAGCCCCCTCCCAGGCAAACTTTCCCATTATTTACCTCTATTGAAGTCAATGTGATTTATCTGTAAGACCTTTGAAGATAAGCTTATTTACTGCTGAGTAGACCTGCATTTCAACTAGTTGTTTCTTCCGTGAGAAAATAATGTAGATAATTCACACTGCAAGCTTTATTCTTCAATGGACTGGGGAGGGGAGTGGGCATTTGCAAATCAGAGAGAGGAGCTGTGAGTGGGTGAAGAAGCTAAAAGATCTCTCACTTGCTGCTGAAGCTTCTGATTCTTCTTCTGCCCCACTTCACACAGAGCACCTGCTGACTGAAACTGCACCTCCTGGTCCCAGAACAGTCCTCGAAGCTTAGCAAGCTTAGCAAGCAGGGGTGCACACGCACACACGGAGGGCAGGAACTGCAACATATAAAGTAGTTGTGGTATAACAAATCTGAAAAAATACAGGATATAGTGGCAGAAAAAGCACAAGAAAGATGGGTGAATGAATGCGGGGTGCCCGTGAGTTAAACATGACAATTTGGTAAAACAGTTGGTATAGACTGCCCTTGGTCAATCTTTTAATTGCTTCCTAGTAGAAAGGGAAGTAGAATAGATTGGCCAGCTTCAATATGGAACTGAGTGCAGTTGCCTATTGCAGAATTCTAGTGGGAGAAGCAACAACCGCCTAAACTTTTCTCATTTATAAAGCTACTCACAACAATGAAATAAGAAATCCATTACTTAAACTTGCAACCTTGCACATAGAACTGATCACAGTTTCTATTTCTGTGAGACTACAATGTATACCACCAAGTAGGAAAATACTTTATGAGGAAGTGTAGCTTGGTAGTAGAGGACATGCATTTTATGCAGAATTTCCCTAGGACAATCTCCAAGTAGGGCTAGGAAAGAGTCCTTCCCAAAACCATGGTAAGATTATTGACTCTGATAGTCAGTGAAGACAATATGGGGCTTGATGGACCAACAGGCTAGCTCAGCATAAGGCAGCTTCCTATATCCCTACCTTCATTTCAGACCAGCAGACAAAAATGGCTTCTAATAAAGTGGCTTATCTTCTCTGCATCTCTTGGCTTTTTAGCTAGGAAATGATACAATTCTTTGACTACTATAACCTTTGTTGTCTTGACTATGTAGGTGGATTAAAACTGTATAGCTCTTATCATGTGGGGGAACATATATTGTATTCACGTCTTAGTGCACCATAGCAACCAAAATTTTGTCCTCCTTCAAACTCTTAAGCAACAGCTGAGCAGCCTCATGTCTGCCAAGGAATGACTCATTCACCTTGGCAGGTTGCAGGCATGCTCTTGATTTTGGAATGACAGGAAATCTGTATTTCACTAGGCTTCCTAGTGAAGACAAAGTGATGATTTATTAGTTAAGTTCCTATGTGAGAGTGAATGAAAAGGAAGTTCCAGGGCCAAATAAGCAGGCTACCTCATAATACCTTCTGTTTTTGCAGAGTACAGCAATTCATATTTGAGCTGTAAGAACCAATAAGTTCTTGCTGAAAGCCATTGTCCTGTTTGCCGCATTTACACAACCATTTAATAGTGCTGCAGTGTTATTTTATCAGGTACAGTGATTCCATTCTGAAGGTGGGTGGTATTGAAGAATGTGATGAAGAGAAAGTTCTTTTAGGAACTCTATGTTTTCCAAAAGAGGAAAAAATCAGACTCCAGCTGCCTTCTCTGTTAAAACAGTAATAACAGGATGCGGCAAGCCAGTGCATCCCATGTGAAGCTCTTCCCTGCGTAGTCATCCTTCCTTCAAATGAAAGCTGAGATTGCACCAGGAGGCTGTGGATGTTAAAGTAGCAGCAGCAGGCAACCCTTGGTAGACTTGTGTTTTTTTCTCTGTGATTATCAGATCTGGGATCTCAGGCATGTTGGCACAAAACTCTATGAATGGGGAGGTTCACAGTATCCTATGATTCCTGGAGTGCCCTCCCAGAGACCACTCGATTACACTCTTGGTCTGTTTCTTTATTTTATTTATTTATTGATTTGGAGCATTTTTATCCCATCCTGTACAAGCCTTAGGATGGTGATACAAAACAGTAGTGGCAGCATACAAAATAGAATTTAAATGTCGAATAAAACCAATATTACAATCACAATTAAATTTTAAAATATAGGGAAAATAAAAAGGGTTTGGCCTAACACCACAATGAATAAAGGGTCGGTGCCAGGTGCACCTCTCTGGGAAAAGGATCCAAAGCTGGGCACCACCCTTTGCAATTGTTACTTTGGAAATGAGTATTGGTGCACTGATTGATTTTCTTCAGTGTATCCCCTGCAGTGTATCAACCTGTAGGTTGCCTGATGTTAGGGTTTTTACAGTTTTATTTAGGCCCTTCTGAAAGAGGATTAAAATCTCAGGGTGAAGGCCTAGAATTAGGGGTGGAGTATTTCTGCATTTCTAGAGTATTTACCATTTGCTCTGCTCCCTAAAAAACTAGACTCAGCCAATATTTTCCTTTGACCAGGAAGATGCTATCTTTTGCCCCCTACATACACTGGTGGTGACTTAGAACCCACCTTAGCTCCCAAGTTCTGTCTCTTGTGTCTCAAGGCCTGAAAATTTTAGTCCCTTGTACTTTGTTATCAATTGTTTAGCTCTTCCACTGCTCATGTTTGAATACAGATAATGATGGAAAGGAAAACCTCATTTCATGGTCTGATTATCTTTATGCTTTATGATAAGCAGAGCTCTTAATGGATGTATAATAGATGTCATGCAGGCTTCCAATGTTTTGTTTTTTGAGAAGAAAATTAGTGATGGAACAAAGAATATTTCATGTCTTTTTCATTTTTTTTGTTCACAAATCACAAGAAATCATTTTGATTTGGGAGAGTCTAGAAGATAACATAAGCAGAGTCAACCGGCTGAATTCATACTAACTGCAGTTTGTTGTTCTTTTGCAGGATCTTTCCGAAATGATGGCTTAAAAGCTGCTGATGTCCTTCCTATATTAAAGGAAAAAGTGGCCTTTGTGTCAGGTGGGTTCATTGCTCTTTCTTTCATTTTTGAAGCATATGTTAGTGCTTTGTTTCAGAGAAAGTTCAGAAAGTTTAGCAGCAGTACTCTATAAAATACCATCGTTTTACAGTTCCATATATTTGAAAAACTTTGAACAGATTCTAACCTGTTGACTAGAATCCTAACAATGCAATCCTAAGTATAAATACTCAGAAGTACAGTGGTACCTTGGCTCATGAACTTAATCTGTTCCACAACTCTGGTTGTGACCCAAATTGGTTGTGACCCAAGTCAAATTTCCCTATAAGATTCAATGTAAATAAGGTTAATCCATTTTGGCCCCTCCGGATGTGGTTGTGAGCCAATTTTTGGGCGTGAACCAAGTCAAATTTTCCCATAAGGTTAATCCATTCTGTAACTATTTTTTTATCAGAAAAAAATTGAAACAAAATGGCAAACAACAAAGTAACAAAGTACAATACAGTACAGTGGAGAACACTAACCTAGGTGGGGGGAGGTTATTCTTTTGAGGGAGAGTCCCCCTCCATAAGGACATTGGGGAGATCTCTTTCAGGGGTTTCTTCTCTTCTTTCTCCCTTAGCTTCAGGGTCAATTTTCTATAGTCACTTATTTATTTATTTATTTATTTATTTATTAAAACATTTTTATGCCGCCCCATTCGCTGAAGCCTCGGGGCGGCTTACAACAATAAATAAAAGTAATTATAATATAAATTACAATAAATAATTAAATACACTTGTTTTTTCCTACACTGCATAACCCTCCGGAAATGAGAGACCACGTTATCATTCATCAGATTCAACACTCTGTTCGTTACAGTTATGTTGGGGTGGTGCTTCTCAAAGAAATTCTGGCACGGGCATGTTCCTGCAGGAAAGACGGGCACAATCCCGGCCATCTCCCCCCCCCCCCCCCCACAACCAGCATGATCATGGTCATCTCCCCCCACCCCAAGTGGGAAGATGGCCATGATCACAGTCGTGTTTGTGCAGGGGAGATGTGCGTGATCACGGGCGTGCTCCTGCAGGAAAGACAGGCGCAACACAGCACAGCTGCGATCATGCACATCTTCCCTGCACGAACGCGACTGTGATTGTGGCCATCTCCCCACTCGGGGTGTGGGGAGATGGCTGCGATCTTGGTCACCACCCAATGCGGAGTTCACGACCCAAGTCAAAATTTTCATGAAATTTTTGTTCGTGACCCAATTCGTGAACAAAGGTGTTCGTGAGCCAAAGTACCACTGTACGTCCAGTTGGGGTCTTAGAGGCTGATTGGCAGCACATGTTCTTTTCATGCAAACAGCCCCATATTCTGTCAAACAGGGCCCCAAAAAGACCCCTATCTGAAACCTTGGAGAACTGCTGTCAGTAAATGCAGATAATACTGAGCTAGACAGACCAATAATATAACTTGGTATCAGGCGATTTTCTAAATGTACAAAAGATACAGCCTAATCCATGTATTGGGTCACAGACTTAAAAGTAACTGATTAAGCATTTTTGTTATTGTCTGAAAGTAATGGTGATGGCATATGGTTTTACACAAAAATGAAATGCATTTGGGATTTTTGCAGACTTCAGATTCCACTCCAATGACAATTAAAACCAAATGTGTGAACAGTAAATGAATGTGATTTGAAATGATTAAACCTGCAATGCAAAGACAAAATGCTTAGTCTTAACTCTAGGGAGGCCTAGTGCAGAAGATGATGAAGCTCTTTAATTGCAGAGCAGGAAAGAGTACAAAGTAAAGCTTTTCTCATTCCTACCTGAGAAGCTGTATAGATATAGAAGCTGCACAGCTGTTGAAGATGAGAAGAAGGCTTTTGCCAGCTTCTGCATCTGGTTACCTTGATAGACTCTGCTAATATTAAGGGCAAGAAAAACAAATAAGAGATAATATAGTGATTTGTGAATGTAGAAGGCACAATACAAAATGGTTCAGCTTGTGCACACTTGTTTGGGAATACGCTCCACAGCGCATTCTCTCCTATGTACCATGCTATTCTTCTGAACTGCCTGGTTCAGATGGGACTTCCAGATCACTATTTTATGGTGGTCCTGGTCCTTCTTGAAGGAGTTATTGAGAAAGTGGTGCTGGGACTTCAAGGTTCCATATTGTCCCCATGCTGTGTATTATATAAATGCAACTACTAAGAAGGTTATTGAGAGTTTTGCAATATGTTGAGGATACCCAATTTATATCTTCGTTTTTCATGTAAATGCAAGGAAGCTGTTCAGAAGCTTTTCAACTTCTAAATTGGTGTCTGATGGCAATAATGGATTAGATATGGGTGAACAAATCACAGATTAATCCAGCCAAGAGGTGCTCCTGGTCTACCAAAGTCAGATAAAAGAAAAGGAATCTGATATATCTTAGGTGGAGTTTCACTTCCACTGAAGATTCAAGTTCACAATATGGGTGTACTCCTGGACAGAGTGAGGAATATAGATAGATGCACAAGTTTTGATGATGGTCTGGATTTTAGTTAAGAGAACAGCTAAGGCTTATGCAGTGAATGAAGTTGTTTCTGGAGGTGTCAGAACCAGCTGTAGTGACACATGCCTTAAGGACACACAAAGTTAGATTACTGCATCACACTGTGGGACTGTCTTTGAAAAATGTTTGAAACTGTGGCCCCATTTGGTCTGGGACTCTTCAGTCAGATCAGGAATGGTTATAGGAAGCATGTGACACCCTTTTTACAACAACTTCAGTGTCTATAGGCAAAATTCAAAGTACTGGTTGTTTCTATAAAGCCCTGCGTGACATGGGATCAGACCACTTTCTCCCTTATGAGCTTGTCCAGGTTTTAAGATCCTCAGCAAAGGCCCTTCCCTCTTTTCTGTGACCATTGAAACTGCAGTTTTTTGGAAAAGCAAGAAGACTGATTTCTTGGTGGTTGCTCTCAGCTCTTCCAATGCACTGTCAAAGGAGTTCAGGCTAACTCTATTTTTGTAGTTTTTTTATCAGTAGGCCTTTGACATTTAGACCTCTTTTGACTTCCAAGCTGATTTTGCTGCTGGAGATCTTTTTATTAATGTGTTTCAATTTATTTGCTTTTATGTTTTCATTAGAATTATGTTTTTAATGTGTATTTTATTTGTTAACTGTTAACTGTGTTAAGCAATATGTATAGCAGAAAGATTGGATGAAAATTGAATAAACTGCAATGAGATTTATTGTTAAGTTAGCATGCATATGATAGTTATTTTCAGAATGTGGGGAACAATAATCTTAATTTTTGCTGGAGGAAATACAGAAGTAATATACCAAACTAAACTCTACCCCTGTTGCAGCCAGAAATATTTTCAAGTTTACTGTTACAGCTTTCTTAACAGATTTTGTATTTAAATTACATATTTGCTTGAAATGTTATTTACTGCATAAATGGCAAAACTCTTACTGCTAGATTTTTATTTATTTATTGCATTTGTATGCCGCCCCATAGCCAGAAGGCTCTTTGGGCAGCTCACATCACAATAATAGCAATGATACAGAGAAAAACAGATAACAATACAATAAAAATGCTATTTAAAAATACAACAGGAGAAGTCCAATATAATCAACAAGACAATAAACCAATAAAGCAATGAATCGATGAACAGCAGCAAGACCAATAAATCACATTCTAAAACAAATACTAAATAAAGATGCCTTAACTTGGTGCTGAAAGCAAGATAATGTGAGTGCCTGTTGCACCTCCTTTGGAAGGGAATTCCAAAGGTGAGGTACAATGACAGAGAAGGCCCTTTTCCTTACTAATTCCTTCCTCACCTCATTGAAATGTTCTGGTTAGGGATATATGCAACAGGAGTCCCTTTAGATATTCTGCTCCCAAGCCATTTAAGACTTTACATGTTAGCATGAGCACTTTGAATTTTATGAATGGTCAAGAGACAAAGTACTTGGCTCAATATTGAAAATGGTCTACAGAATTAACAGATACTGGTCATGCATCATCTGGGCCAGATTTCACTTAATTGCTGTTATTACATGTCCCAAGTGTGGCTCAGGGGACAGCTGTGATTATGGCAAGGACCAGTTGGTAAGGGAGATGGCAGTTGACTCATGGCAGACATGGAAAGAGCCAGTTGTATGAATTAACTCTTGCCTTTAGCTATCGTTCAAAATGTTGCACTGAATATTGTTCTGGAGTGTGACTGGATTTCTGGTTCAGAAAGGGGATTTCATTCTGTCCTGGTGTGTCATAAATCACTTACTCTTTAAGGTTCAGTCTGTGCTCATCTTGCTAAGGTTGCAAAATATAAAGAATGTTAGCTGCCCTCAGTCAATAAATTCCTCTTCAGTTTCTTTTAAAGAGAGGGCAGACAAGCACACTCAGGACATCTCTTTTCTGATTGCTTTTCCGCTTTGTCTCTGCGTGAAAAGGCAATAATTTCTGACACAGCCAGCTCAATAGCAGCCTTGCCATCTACATTGCCTCTTGATGATCTTCAGACACAATAGAGAAAGGCAAGGATCACCACTGGCTTTTGAAAATGGAGTATGTGAATCTTTACTTCCTATTATAGCAGCCTAAGGAGCGTCAGACTTTAATCTGGGGTTCAAATGTTGTTCTGTATGTTCTGCCCTCCATGTCTGTAGAAGGGATCTCACTGAAGGTCTGTGACCTGCAACTAGGTAGGGAGAAGAAAAATTATTCCAGGGAAAAGTAGTTTGCTTCTCTTGCCACTGAGTTCATGTTATTTCACTCTTCAAATTTCTACACCAGCCTCCCCATTCACATTCCTGACCTTTCCTTCAAGACACCCAATCTTTATTTCTTGTAAAAGCCTTACTTGCGACCCCTGTTTCTTGGCAGTCTCCTGCTACCTGAGAGGACAGCCCACTTTCTTTTGCTGCACCTTATATCAGACCACCGTGGCATACCACTGACACCTTCCCAAAACCCCAGTGTTCCTCTTCTCTGCCTTAAAATCCATCTGCAATGCTCACACTTTCTATAAGCCCTTTGACTCAGCTATTTAGTGTT